TTTATATCATTGGCTCTCTACAGTTTTTACTAAACGTGGACATGGCCATGCCCGTTTGGCATCGTGGTCAGAGACCCTTTGCATTTATTATGCAAGAGACACTGCACCTAATCAAAATGTATCATTCCACCCCTTGTTATAGGGGATGACTAGTCTGACACAATCTTATTTTGGAAAGGATTAGTTTATCCTTTGGTACTATTACTGTATTACTGTAAATATAAAATGCTTAGATTGACTGTGGGGACTAGCTAGCATCTGACATTAACATGGGATTAACTGCTTGGAGCATTTTTCTAGGACTAAAGTGGTCTACCAGACATTCACTAAGCCTTCCTTAGTGTGCAGTCTGTGCAACTGCTTTCTCCAAAATAAGTGGATGAGATTTTTTTTTTTTTTTTCTACAGAGGAGGAATTAATACAGGGAAAATAGTAAAGTGAAGAAAAAAGTTATCACCTTTCATGTCAAAATGACATTGTGCTTTCTCTTCTTCACAGATTTCTATTATAAATAAATAATAATAAACAAAATAATCTTTTAGTCAGTCGTAGATTTAATGATGTGTGATTAACTGAGCTTCATTCAGTATTTGTGCAGAGAGAATATTGATAAATCTAGGTGCTTATATTAGTCTTTCACTGAAATGAAAAAGAATCTGACAATATATTAGTATGCAGAACTTCATATTCACCTTGTTTGTATTAATCCTATATGTTAATGGTAATTCTGTGTGATAATGCTTTAGTTAGTTGACATATACATGTTTAATTTCTGGCATTGAATTTTTCCTCCATCTCATAAATCCATTTATTACAGTGGTTTGAGGTATATATGTTAAAGATGCTGTATTTCTTTCCACCTTAGAGTTGCAGCAGCTCTCTGCAAGCCACTCTTTTCTTATTGCTAAATAAGGGGCCAGGGTGATACAGCTTGGCACAGATTGAGAAATCTTGCTGCCTTTTTTCCTCTCTTTGGCCCTGCAGATGGGTCTGTGTATAGGTTTTGGGGTTTATGTGTGTTTTGGACTCGAGGTATAAGAACATACTAAGTGCCCTCTTGGGCCGGAGCAGCGGTCCACGTAGCCTGATGCTCTGTCCAGTGCTGGCAGCGAGATCTGGTATTTAGGGAGACCGTGGCAGTGCTGGCAGTCTGTGCCCCCCACCATCCGCACATGTTCTCAGAGACGCGTTATGCGTTACATCCCCGCGTATTCCTTTGGATATCTGTTTATGGATCTGTTGTATATGAATCTAAATAATCCTTTTCTAAATGTGTTTATGCCATCTTCCAAAAAAAAATTTCCTGTGTCAGCAAATTTGACTTTCTTTTGACTTCTCAAGCTTTCCCGTTTCTTAAATGCTGACCTTTCCACTATAGATGGGGGTCTTAATTATCCTGTAAAGCTGTGAGGGAGGTGAGGTGGATTGTTTATTGCTGTTGATTTATTTTACTTTTGAAATGTGGCATATATTTTATCTTTGCTGCTAATACAGGGAAATGTCCAGGCTTCTTGCAGACTGCTTCCTTTTTTTGGGACCGCTCGTTGTAGAGTCTGTGTGGGTTATGGAGGGTTTCTTCTGGTTGTTGATGGTGGTTTGTTTTTTTTTTTTTTTTCCCCTTTGTCCTGTTTTTTAGTATTCATCTCATTGTTCCTATCTTGAAATCAGATATCTGTGTACTGGATTTAGTTGGTTGCTCTCTCTTGCTGCAACATTAAATGGAATAGTAATGTAATTACTGCTACAGAGAGGCTTTCCCAGTAATGGTTCTTGAACAGTGCTTGTGTGCCACTGGAGACCAAATGCTACATTTCATGTAGATTTTTAGACTAGTTGTACTAGGATGCTTAATTTTCATGTGGAATGATGGGGAAATTGCAGGTGAACAAGCCTTTGTCTTGCGATCACCAGCTTTGAGGAGTATAGTGATAGACACAGTCATCTTTGTGCATTTATGGAGTGGTTTCAAAGAAATGACATTTTGTCTCAAGGAAAGTTTATGCTTTCATAAATTAAAACCTTGCAAGACTTTTAAGAAATTCACGTGATTTTCCCTGAAAGAGTAAAAGGTATTCATGTTGCCTCCTCTTCACGTTACTTAAGTAGTAAATCTCTAATAAAACGGTTGGTGGGAGGAAATGGAGATATTTTATTGTAGTCTATATATATGTTTCCTGCTATGTAGTCTTTTTAAGCTTGACTTGCAGAACAACAGCTTCATAAATTGCTTGAACAGAAACTTGTACATTTGCCTGGGCTAGGCAAAAAAAAGTGAATAAAAATGAATATTCTACAGTGCTTTTTGATAATTCAGTGTGAATATAGAAGTTAGTTATGGGAAGCACAGCTTCTGAATGCAGCCTTCTTGCTTAGCTAGAGTTCCTTCCTACTTGCAAAGTCAGTATGCACCTAATATAAACTGTTTTCTGAAGTTAGTTTTATAAAATAGAGTTGCTGAGAATGCTTTTCTTCCATTTTAATCACAGAGGCTAAGAATTCTTATTTGTCATTACTTGCTAAATTTCTTTGCATTTTTAGATTTCAGACAAAAATAAACTACTACTCTTGCCAAGCAGTCATGCTTTTAAATATTTTCAAATTGCTGAAAACAGTTAAACTTTATCTGTTATGTTGCCTATTTACTTACAGCTGCTATTCTTTTTACCAAAAAAATTATCATTTGCATCCTCCTAATTTATTTTTGAGTTCTAGCATTTTACTTCAGTGCAGTTTGTCTCCCTATCCAACTATGTAACAGCTTATAAAAAATATTAGAGTAATTCAAGTTCTTCAGTTCAAGCAAAAATGAGTGCTCCTTTTCTGACAATAATATCAAATGATTAAACTAATGCAGCCATAACCTAAAAGCTTTGACAATGTTTATTATTCAGACTGCTTTAGTGATTGATTTCAAGGTTAACTCTTGAATGTTGAGTTAATGGCTACAAGGATGCTATGTTCAGTGTA